CCCCGGCGAGAACGGGTGTCGTCGGCTCCATCCCCTGGCTGGCACGGTCCCCTGCGGCGCCCGTGGGCACGCAGAAGCCCATCGGCTACAGCTGCCAGGGACTGTTCGTAACACAAAACCGTAAGGTAAAACCCCTGCTTTGTGCAAGCTTAATAATAATAATAATGAACTACCTACTGCAATGCAAAGCACCAGCGGGATCCAACCCCTGCCTAAAGCAGACTAAACTGGTCGTACATTTAATAAACCAGGCAAAAATAACTTTATATTTTATAAATTCTTTGAGCAGAAAAGAAGACCTAACAATATCCCTTTAAAACACGGTCATTGCTATCTAACTTCTCTAAAAACAAGCCTTTGAATAACAGCCATCCAGGCACTGAACAACACTCCTTCCTGATGTCAGTTTATTTCACATTATGGCTAGAAGCTCGTTAATTTCTGGGTTTGGGTTTTTTTTTTTAGATTGTGACTTGCAATATTTCAACAAGTATTGCATTTTATATTTATGTCATTTGCTTCTTGTTTCTCTGCAGGGAAAATGGAAACCTAGTATAATAAATGAGAAAATGATGAAAACTTCTTGTACTCTGTAATCATAATAAATAGTTTTCTGAAAGGGAACAGCATCACCTACATACAAAGCAATGCCAGTTTCAGGCACTCTGGAAATTTTTGTTCTCTGTTTTCTGGAAAAAACCACCAACGCGGGCGTCGATGGAAATGTCCTTCCAGCCAAGCCTCCCAAAACGCCAGGGTGGCAGCGGCAGCCGCGTGGGGCGAGCGGAGGTGCTGCCCCGCACCCCTGGGCAGTGCGCGGTCCTCACTGCGGTGCTGAGCGCCAGCACAGCTCCCGGGGCAGCGCGCCCCCGGGCCGATGGACGGCCGGGGCGAGAGGGCGCTTCTCCGGTGCCCCAGGTATGCTCCGTTTGTACCGCTAGAATTACCACAGCCATTAATAGTTAACGATCACATTAATGCAGCTCTTGGCGGGGATCTACTGTGAGTCGAACCAACGTCAGGACCGGTGTTCGGTGCTGTCCCGGCCAGGCTCGGCCACTTAGGTCCTGTGCCACAGGCAGGAATCCTTCATAAAATGCCCCTGGTTACAGAAATGCCCCCCCCCGTCAGTCCCCCAAAACGTATCTTTTGGTTTTTGTCCTTCTCCATTCGTGCATCTGTTCCTGGGGAAGGAATAAACATCTACTGGGTAACAAGTCAGAGTGGTTTTGTAAATTAATCTCAATCCATTTTCAAGCAGATCTACAATGCGAAGCAATGCAAGAAAGCAGAAAGAAGAGACTACTTTGTCCTCGTTCTGCATAATGCGGTCCCTCGCCACACAAAGGAAATTTTCAGTGGTTAAATACAGCCATTAGAAAAAATTGTATGTAATGCTGCCAGATTTGCGAAGCAGAAGGCAGGCATCAGCTGGTAGTATATTGCTCAAGACATGGCACATAAAAGATTTAATAGAGACCCAGATACCCTGAACATTCAGCTGCTGCCAAATGGTTTGTATACAGCTGCCTTTGCTTTTATTGCATTAAAGGCATAAAGGGTTTGGAGCTTGCATTTGCGATTCAGGACATGAGATGTGCATTTAACATCTCCCAGTTCGATCTCACTTTATGGGGCCCCAGACAATGAGAACGCCTGTATTGTCACCATAGCTGGCAGCTTCTTCTCATCTGAATCTGGGACAATCTCCGTCTTCACTCAACAGCCCCAGATATCTCATTAATTTAGAGGGGACTAACGAGGACCATCGACCTAGGTGATATTAAAAAAGTAACAGGCAGGGAAAACTGACTCTTGCCTTTGAAATATTCACCTTTCTTTAAGGTGAGAGTTATCATTTTAAAAGGTAGTACGTGAACAGGAGTGTTCCGAGCTGCCTCTCTGCTTTGCGCACAGTTTGTTTTTATCAGCAAAAGCAGTCAAGGAGTTTGCCTGACTTCGCCTGACCTCCATGCGGCACCCAGGAGGTTTTGGTCGCTGCCTCTCCCGAGGGCAGACGCACGGCGCTGCTCCCTGCCACCCCCGGGCAGCGTCATGCAGCACCGCCCGGGCAACGTCCCCAGCCTCCTTTGCTGCAAAGCCGCCCCTACGGCTTCCCATCACCAAAACATTTCACCCTCTGTTGAGCTGACAGTAAATCTGTCTGTTTAAAGTGTCCTGATAAACGATGCAAGAGAGGGAGGCGTGAGAACAGCCGAAAAGACAAGAGATGGGAAGCCAAGAGGAATCCCCGCGGCAGGAGCTGGGCATCCCGCGGGGCGCAGGGCTGCATCCCTCCGGCACGGCAGCGCCGGGCACCTGGAGGACTCCTTCATGCCGTGCCGTGCCATGGTGTGCCAAGCTCTGGCAATGTTCCCACAGGGCAAACGGACACCACACGGAAACACGGCACAGCACTCAAAGCTCACCTGATTCTCCCGTAGTGTCTGAAAATCAAAGAGGGGGACAAAGGGCCCAGCTTTAATTTAAGAAGAATGAATGAGCAGGAGCCTCTGGAGCGGGAACAGCTGGCACGGCTCTGAATCGCTGTCCTGGAGTCAGCTTGGTGGTGGCTGTTTCCACCAGCATCCAACTAATCCAGGGAAAACATTAAGAATTTCAAATACCAGACCATAATTTACGGTTTAGAAACCAAAACAAGCAAACAAAAAATTAATACTGGGACTAAATAAGTAGAACATAGCTGAGGCACTTACGCTTTTGACCGGTTTGTCTTCTACCACCACCCACACCATGACTGTGATTTGCAGGGATGAACCTTGCTCTTCTGGTAGGAAGCATACGCACCATTTACACGCACACAAACCTGACTTTAGGATAAAGCCTTGGGGTAAACCTTGTTCTGTAGGCGCAAAGCGCGCTCTGTCACACCAGGGACTAAGCACCGAAAGCTGAAGCAAAGTCCATGACCTGCCAGGAATTATTTGGCGTCTTATTTCCCTGCATCACTCATTGAGCTGTTGCTTGCAAGAGTTATTTCTGTTTTCCACCCAACCGTGCTGTAAGTTGGCATGGAAATAGAGAGCTGGGGTTTGGGTGTTTTCTGGTGTCCAGGGCACTCAGACATTACGTCCTTTTTGGAAGTTTTTCTTGTTCTTGTTAATTTAGGATACTTTCCCCAATCATCTAAATTTTTGCTG